TTTTTTCAACTCATGTGATATTTCGCCGGCATTCACAGTTACTAATTGGGCGACCGGATTGTGCAATTTTCAGGACCAATCCCTTTTGTCCAGTCATTTCGGCGAAAAAGACATCAAAGATGCTTTCATAATCGATAACCTTTGGTCCCGACTACACGCCTTTCCGCCTTCAAACTAGAGGCTATGGCGACCACGTCCAGATCGCTTCATGATACGACGATCGGTAGTACGAGGACGCACTGCTCTATCCAGTTGTTTACCTCCGGTCTTCCTAGCATGACTTAGCTTTACGGAGCGGAGGCCTACCCAGTATAGCGAGAGGGTCAGGCTGAACACCAAACCAAGTTGGCAGATTTTAGTGAGGTAGATCCAAAATGATCCGGAGCACCCTATATTCATCTGTGTACTTGACTTCAGGAACAGGCATTAAGCAGTGTTCGTGAAACATGCCTGAATGTGGGCTGGCTTGCAAGGGGTGCCAGGGATTGAGAGCAATAGGCATTGAAGGTTATAGCTTTGGTGCAGGATCGCCATTTGATGCATGATATCGCCATATCTTCCAGAGTCCGTCTCGTTTGTCCCGCAGCCACTATCGGGGTAGGTGGTAGATAGCGACACGAGTGGGTTGACTGGTGGAAACCCTCATGTCTCGTTGCCAAATTATGGACTGTCAGACCCTGGGCTATCTATATCAGATGCAATGCCCAGCGATGTATGAAATAAGACGCGAACGGTCCTCTGCCATACGAAGTACATAACCTAACCAGCGTCACCCGTGGAGTGAACATTCTCGAAAACCATCCGGCGCATTTAAGCATTAGTAATCAGATTTCCTCAACCAGACCTGAGCAGTGCTTCAGGGGCACTGATGGTCGAACACAGTCTGAAAATCTTTCGTACGCAGTGGCCACGTATCTGACCCATAAAGCAGGTCAGATTGAAAAACGATACTATAACCTCTACCTTTGACAGCCAAGCTGACGTCACCCTAGCAACAATCACCATCCCCATCGACGGCATGATATCAGTGCCCAACATTGGTGCTTTGCTGTCATGAAACCATGATTTACTTGGAAGCCCCATTATGAAATCGAACGGGGAAATGACTTAGTTGAGCCTTAATAAAATCATTCCGAGGTACCTATACCTTCAGATACTCATTCAAGCAATCTGCATAGAAACTGATATAAAAAACGCCATTGACATAGACTGGCAGCCATATCTTGCAACATCTTCGCAGAAGGGTTTACGCGGTCCCCATGCTGGGAGATAAGTAGCACCGACAGCGCCCAAACGTTCTGTAAGCTCTTTCATACCCCTTCTGTGAGATCAACGGCTGGCCGCCTGTCTGCTTCCGCCACTCTGAATGGGGAACGGAAACAGCACTCTCGGTAAACGATAATTTGGCACACGCAGTATATGGTCTAACCAACACAGCTTTTGGTGCTGGACACAGTCATCAAGGGGAATTCCTGTTGCACAACCGAAAATTCACCTTCTAATTTCCCCTGAATGGATCCGCTGACACCAACCCACACGAGCAATGGTTCTGAGAAAACGATTGTAGAAAGCCTGAAGACATCCGAGTTCCGCAGCTCGAACAGGCCAAGCCTCACAGCCGTACAACAAAGCAGTCCGTACTGTAGTCTGATACACACATCCCTCGAGATTCATGGATATACCGTTTTGACGCCATAGTTGTCTCAAATTGGCGAACGCGACCCGAACCTTGCAGATTCGTGGATCGACCTCATCTGCCACACTATGATCACAATTACTACAGCTTTCGAGAGAGGTAAAAGGTTCCACATCTTTGAACGCCTTCCTCTGGATTGCAAGTGGCTTGTACAGTGTCCGTATGTTCATGAGGATGACCTTAGACTTTGCGGGTGCAAAGTAAATACCAAAGGACGAGATTACTTCGGCCCTTCCTTTTCGAAGATGAAAATAATTTCGTCTGGTTACTTTCAAGTGTTGTCATATTTCATCGATTGCGGAATTAAGTGAGAATGTAGAGAGCGGGCACCTCTGAAGGACGCCACCTTGTGTACGGAAGTTTTTGGAGAGCTCTCCGTATACTCCCACACGCCCGCAAGTCTGGTAATACAATGAACGTGTTATATTCACAAATCCCCGTGGCATTCCTTGATGGGCAAGCGTGTCAAACGGAACAAACCGGTCAACCGATTCGATCGCGCCTTGGAAATCCGGGAATATTTTTGATCGTTTGTTCGCACGGCGTTGTTCTAGCACATGACGGAGTGTGAAGAGTTGAGAACCCCCACCTGGCCGGAACCCGAATCTTTGCTCCCGGGTCGGTTCCACGAGCTACCAAAAAGCGACGAAACACAAATGTCTGTCTTGTTACAACTGGAGTCAAGCTGAGCCCCTTGTGGCTGCCAAAGTCACTACGAGTCCCTCTCTTGAAAACGGGTATTACCACCGACACCCAAGCCACTTGTCTGAAACGGTCTGCCTTTTCCTAACGCAGGAAAGCAGGTCAGACAAGCGCCAACTGAGGATTTCACCCCCGTCTTTCAATAATGCGGGTGGGATGTTATCCTGACCAGATGCTCGGTGGCGCTTGAGAGACCATATGCAGTCGTAAGCCTCTGAAAGAGCGTGCTCCACATCCACCATGCAGTGTTCTACGGCAGCTGTGGGATCCAGATGAGTAGCAGCAGATGGACACGGTAGCCGTTAGAAGTATTCGGCCCAGCAGTCCACGCGTTTTTCTTTATTCAAGATGACCACTCCATTCCGATCTTTGATGGTCTCGTTCACAAGCGGTTTCCAGGGCCCTATTGAGCGGATCAACTGAAATACTCTTTGCGCATTACCAGCGTGGGGAGGTCAGCCGCCCCTAATAACAGAACATCACATTTGGTCGGATGTCACGTGTAGGCTACGGACCAAGCGAAGGCATGCCCTGATTGGTCAGGATGTCGGCCAATCTGGATTAAGCATGTTTAGCTCGACACTTCTCGCCACCTCACAGAGATTACATAACGACCTCATGGGACACCCTGTGATTATCCTATAAATAAGGTCACAATGATCTTCCGTTGTATCCATAACGGTCTGTCTGAAGCTGCCGTGTTTTTTATATACCTTGTTGGGCGGAGCAGTATGCCATGGACCGTTCTGCCAGGCACTGAAACCAGCCTTCTAGGTCTCTTCCTTTTCCTTGGCGATCTCGTCACAGTATGAATTCACATCTGATGGTGGGTTGTTTGGTATAGACTCTGGAAAACTATTCTGGTAAATTCATCCAACATCCGGATTTGCGATTCTCTCCGATGCGGGGCAGTTTTTCCATGGGCCGGCGAATGAAATGAGAGACTACTCCGGATGAGTGTGTGATGGGAATACCCAGTTATCTATCTATCCGCGACGTCGAAATTGATGACGACATGGTCAGTTTGTTTGTAGACGGTATGACGCTGGATGACACCATGTGGCCAAACGACTTCGGCCATTTCGGTAGTACTGCATAAATGCAGTCTGCGGGCTGCACGCAGCTGAAGAAGTCGTTGACCATCTCTCTAGTCCAATCCTTGTCGGCCACTTTTGGGTCTCAGATGTGATAAGCCTGTCAACTTGTGAAAGCATGCCTCCGGCAACCATGATACCTGTTAGCTCGCCACAATTGGGGATTCAGGGCGTTATAAATCTTGATTTTGATGGTATTAGAATGAATCGGTTGACACAATAAACATATTCTGGTCACTCTCCCGTTTGTGACTCCTTCACAGACGCTGCCAGATGAAACGCACAGCAAACTGCTGGAAATTCTTCTAGTGAACAGCCCCACAACTGCCAGCACAGCCATGGAACTCCGCTGACTGTTCAGTCGCCTTGGAACAAGGGAAGCTACTGTACTCAGAAACGGCAGTCAGTTTAAACCGTTGGCGTTCGCACACTTTTCCCGGGAGTACAGCATGCTCAACCTCCGCCATTTCATCCTCAGTCGAATTGCCAGGTGGAACGTTTCGTTGACACTCTGAAGCAGTCTCTCCAGAAGTCCAGGAGGGAGGGACATTCGGACGATACTTTGCGAAGTTTTCTGCTGACATGCGGAATGACGCCAAAACTCAACTCGCCTGATGGAGTGCTAACAGCAAAGGCACTGTGCTGAAGGAGGCTTCGAACACCGCATGTACTATCAGGCCACAGAAAAGACAGACTAGTCGCCACAAAACCAAGATGGAGGAACAGTTAAACCACCAACATGAAGCAACTGCGTGCTCCCTCAGCGAAAACCGGAGAGTGGTTTTTCTTGATCACAGCGGCAGACACCATACGTGGATTCCTTTGTCAGCGCGGAAAGGCTGTTTGCGAGATTCAAGTTGGCTTGACCAGGTGGATACGACACAAACCATATCCGGTCGACAGATGCGCAGATTCTTCCCACGGGACCGCGTGAGTTAAGTTTAGGATGCTCCTGGACACTTGATCTCAGAACCATCCTCGAAAATCCAACAACTGCTTCAGTGGTGGCCCACCCCGAGCGCGGATTACAAACGCCATCCCGGACAGCCAAGATCCACAAGCCAGTGAGGTCCCCGCAAGTGAACCCTCGGCTTCTGAGCTACGTCAACTGACTTCAGGAGGGAGGTGTTTGGCGGAATTTTACACGGATCCCGCTTACCCGCTCACAGCTAGGTGCTGCCAAGGCCGAGAGGCCTACCTCGTGCAAGGCTGGCCAAAAGTTCGGGACGCTTGCCGGTCTAGTTTAAGGCGAGATCCGATTGGTCGAAAGTCTGAAGCCGACGGCCAATCATGACCCAACACAAGGGTAATGCCGGTTGACACTGACGCAATCAGAATTCCCAAAAAGTTGTCGCCGCTCACACTATACGTTACGCGCCTTACAAGTGTCCCTGGATTCCTTTCAGGCGTCGATATAGGTCGTGCACCTTCTGTCGTTGTTTTGAAATGAAAGCCAGCGTAGGAGGCTCCGTCAGAGATCTAAGCTGAGAATAGTATCGTTACTACGTTGACTAACAAGGAGAGAGTTATTGGTGGGGCGGGACAGGAAGTGTGTGGAAATGAGGAGAGAAGGTGCCAGCGGTAGCCTGCCTTCGCTTACCCGCTCTGCTGTATGCAACAATTAGAGCAACCCGGCAGACGACACCACGCGATGAGGCATTTATTTGTATATGTGCAGTTCATGGTTTGACGCTTGCCGGTCTAGTTTAAGGCGAGATCCGATTGGTCGAAAGTCTGAAGCCGACGGCCAATCATGACCCAACACGAGGATAATGTCGGTTGACACTGACGCAATCAGAATTCCCAAAAAGTTGTCGCCGCTCACACTATACGTTACGCGCCTTACAAGTGTCCCTGGATTCCTTTCAGGCGTCGATATAGGTCGTGCACCTTCTGTCGTTGTTTTGAAATGAAAGCCAGCGTAGGAGGCTCCGTCAGAGATCTAAGCTGAGAATAGTATCGTTACTACGTTGACTAACAAGGAGAGAGTTATTGGTGGGGCGGGACAGGAAGTGTGTGGAAATGAGGAGAGAAGGTGCCAGCGGTAGCCTGCCTTCGCTTACCCGCTCTGCTGTATGCAACAATTAGAGCAGCCCGGCAGATGACACCACCCACGCGATGATTTATTTGTATATGTGCAGTTCATGGTTTTGTGTGGGTGGGGTACCACCAAACAGCCCATACCTAGGCAGGATAATGACTGGGATCCTCATCTAATGTCTTTGGTTCGAAAGCCTGACCACAGGGCGGTTGTTTTCGGCGGGTGATAAAGTGCTTTTCAATATTTATATTACAAATCGCTGTACACCTTCCCACCACAACTTGAAACCAGCAGACTATGTTCATCAGACTTCTAACAGTTGACGGAACTGGTATAAGATATCGTGAGAGTATCACACGGACACACCAGTTTAACTCGGTGAATGGCGGAGACACACAAAACACCCAGGCTCTTCGTGACGGAGCCGAAGTTTGACGAATGTTGTCAACCATGTATGCAGCAGGTATGCAGCCGGATGCAACCAGGTATGCATCTAACTCTCTTTTGGCGTTTAATCCTTCTAGCTAAAAAGACGTCACGGAGCATGTGGTAGTCTCCTAATTTCTCCCCTTAGTCCGTCGCCTTTCCATCGAGATTGTCAAACGCGGGGGCGGAGACGGGAATCACCATCATCATCGACAGCATGACATCAGTGTTCAACACCAATGCTTCACTGCCGTACAACGGGCGTACGTATGCTTGCTGGTGTACGTCTCCAGGTATCAATCATCGTATTTCGGGAGCTTTGTTGGGCATGGCGCAGCAGAATTACTGAGGCTATTTAAAATAGTCTGCATTTCTAAATGGTCCGGAGGAACAGTAAAACCGTCACTGTAATCACTGGTCGTAAGCAAACCCTTGGAGTGCCCTTAGACTATGAAGTTGTTGGAGATGAGTAAAAAAGACAAAGTTGGGAAACGAATGCATCAGACGGCACTCCTGCTTGATTGTACAGAATTTAATGAACGCAGCCAAATCTTCTGTAGATACATATGCTGGTACCGGTGAGGGCACCCAGACATTACAGGAAACAAGAATTCAGGATACGTTCTTCAACGCAATAAATCGCCGCAGTTTTTGACAATCGGAATCAAAAGCGTGTAGCACTGCTCTTTAAGTTATCAGCATATAAAGAAGTATCCAGTGGTGCTTTGAAAGGGGTTCTAGATGGAACGCGGACAACCGTCGGAGGAAGGTCATGCAACAACTATACGAAACAAGAAACGTTTTGCTTTACTTAAATGAGCGATAGTATCTGGAAAATGCTTTTACCATTTCCATCCACGCGTTGGCTAATTCAACAGTAGAAAACTTGTCTCGATCTTTTTCAAAC